AAAGATGAAGGTAGAGGGAGACACAGGGAGGAAGGAATTCAATAGATAAAGTGAGTAGCGGTAAATGCTGTTAACTATTGGTACATGGAGAGGATTGCAACCATGTAATGTAGCAAAGTATTGCTGTAAAACTGATGATCCTTTCAATTCAAAATAAGTTAAAAAAAAGTCTGCTATCAAGAATATACTCATGAATTAATTCAAAAGAATATTTGCTTTAGAGTTTAAACTCTGAATGATTTTTGCCTGTGGAGAACTTCAGCCAGGCATGCCTTGTTACTGTTATTAAGTGCCATCGAGTGGGTTCCGACCCACATCGGCCCTTTTTAGGGTTTCTGAGTTGCTGCTGGTGAGTTTAAACTGCTGCCTTGTGGTGCAAACCGACCTTGTAGTCAGTGCTTACCCTACAGCGCCACACCAGGACTTGGCTCCATCTTATGCCTAGATTTAAGGGTTCAAATATTCATTTTTCTTGAGTACCTCATGCACCTCTGCTGACCAAACTGCCAGAATTAGAAACAGAATGCATTTGAAATGGTTTGGGGCCACTTGACCCAGCCAGCACAACTCCCTCATAGAAGCTTTCCTGGGCAGGCCCCTTCATGGAGGGTTGAGGTGTCATACACACCCACCTTCCCCTTCCCCAGCCTCAGAGGCTATCCAATTTACAGTAGTACCTGCATACATATACCATGCGTATGGGATGTGTATGTGACCCATTGCTACTGTCAGTTGTGATTGTAGGAAGAGATTCCTTGTTCTTTGCATCCTATAAAGGCCACCCTGTGGAGGTAGAACTTTGGAATTCATCATGGTGTTCTGTAGAAGGTTTCGCCCACCTAGGTGATCTGTGTTTGCTTTCTCTTGTGTTTTATCTTGTTTAAGACTCAATACCGACTCCCTAGAATACTTACATAGAAGGAGCCCCAGTAGAAGAGTGAGTTAAACATTGGGCTGCTAATTGTAAGGTCAAGCAGTTCATATCTACCAGCTGCTCCACAGGTGAAATAAGTCTTTCTGGCACTGTGGGTTAATGAACTGGACTGCAAAAATCGGCTTGAACCACAAGGTTGGTGGTTCAAGCTCACCAGCTGCTCCTTGGAAATCCTATATAGGGTCACTATGAGTCGGAACCAGTTCAACGGCACTTAACAACAATTCCTGCATAGATTTACAACCTCAGAAACCCTGTATAGGGTCTTTATGAGTCAGAACCAACTCCACAGCATACAACCACCATCACCACCACCATCACCATTACCATAATACTTATATACCAGAGCATGGTAGCTCTGGAGCATAAGCACTGGAATGCAAAACACATGTCAGCGGTTCGAGCTCACCAGCTGCTCTTACAACAATTACAACCTTTGAAACCCAATATAGGATCACGATGAGTCGAACTGACTCCACGGCACTTAACAACAACATAATAGTTATATAGGAGTGCTGGTGGCACTGCACAGTAAGTCAGTAGTTCAAACCCACCAGCTGCTCCACAGGAGAAAGATGAGGCTTTCCGCTCCCATAAAGATTGACAGTCCGGGAAACCCTATTATTGTTGTTGTTAAGTGCTGTCGAGTCAGCTCTGACCCGTCAACCTTGTATAGGGTTTCCAAGGAGCAGCTGGTGAGCTTGAACTGCTGACCTTGTGGTTCAGAACAATTTTGCAATCCGGTCATTACCCCACAGCGCCATACCAAGACTCTGAAAACCCTATAGAGGGTTGCAGTAAGTGAGAACCAACTCAATGGCACCTGACTGTTACCAGGAGGGCTAATCGCACCTCTACCCTGAGAGAGAGAGCTCAAGAATAGTAAGGTGTGTGCGCAGACTTCCCACTCAAAGCTTTATTATAGGAAAAAGGTTTGCAAGTGGAGACAAGGAGGGCTTAATGTAACATTTAATCCCTGACTCCTTGAAGAACTTCTCTGCTAGGGGGGGTTGGAGTCCTGATGTGGTGCTGTGGACTAATGCACTGGACTGCAAGGTTGATTTGAACCGTGAGATCAGTGATTCAAATTCATCAGCCAGTCCTCAAAAACCCTATACAAGGTAGCTATGAGTCAGAGTGGACAGCATGGCACTTAACAACAACAAAGGGATTTTAGGTGGGAAAGACATGATGTTTATTCATAGGAGTAGGCGGGGATTTCCAGGCAGTGGCCCATTTAAGAGACGCCGTGCTAATTGGGGGAGTCCTTGGTGTGGCGCTTTGCCAGACTGCAAAGCCGTTTGAACTGCAAGGTTTGCGGTTCAGGCTTACCAGCTGCTTCTCAGAAACCCTATACAGGGTTGCTATGGGTCGGAACCAACTTAATGGCATTTAACAACAACAACCAACATGCTAATTGGTTATGTGTGCAACATTTCTTCAAGGTGGATTTTATCAAACAGACCTCTGATAGGGGAAGAGAGAATTTACTCCGGAATGTCGAGTATGCATACTTCTTCTGGACGTTGATTCAAACCCCTCCCAAGGGCTGGTATTCTCTGCCCCAGCCGAAGGTTGGCCTTTAAAGTTATACCTGGGGGCACTGAGTAAACTACTGCAAAAATATCTCACAAGGAAGTAAAATAAAGAATTTTTCTTGGTGGTCTTTCTTAATGGCATGTCCCAGAATGTGACTGCTCAGTTATGCACCCTGATCATGTCCTACACACTTTCACAATTGTTCAAGCAAGGAGTGGGGAAGGACTGAACATTTTTGAAAGTTTTAGCGCTCACGTTTAATCCTGATTTGATTTTGGGATCCCCTTTTCTCCTTGACTTATGACATTAACAGCCTAATAGTTATATATTTGAAGATGTCGTCTCTTTCTCTCCTAGGATACATTTGATTGATTTAAGGTATATTAGAGGAACACTGGCAACACTGCAGGTTAAGTATGTTGTTGTTGTTGGTATGTGCCGTGGAGGGTTTCCGAGACTGTAAATCTTTATGGAAGCAGAACACCTCATCTTTCTCCCAAGGAACCACTGGTAGTTTCGAACTGCTGACCTTGAGGTTGGCAACCTGACTCGTAAGTGCAGGTTAAGTATGTTGTTGTTGTTAAGTGCCGTCGAGTCGATTCCGACCCATAGCGACC